GTATGTATAAATTTTTGTATGAGAGACTAACTTGAATTGTAAACTTTCACTTAAAGTAAAACAATAAAAAAAAAAAAGAAAGTGAAAAGACAATCCACAGAATGAGAGAAAATATTTGCAAATCATGTATCTGTTAAGGGTCTAGCAACCAGAATATTTTTTAAAAAATTATTACAACTCAGCAGTAAGAAAGACAACTTAGTTTAATAATGGGCGAAGGAATTGAGTAGACCCTTCTCCAAAGAAGATACACAAACGGCCAATAACCCGTTGCCATCAAGTCGATTCCAACTCACAGCAACCCTACAGGACAGAGCAGAACTGCCCCATAGGTTGGTGGATGCCAACTGCCGACTTTTTGCTTAGCAGCCGAGCTCTTAACCTCTGTGCCACCAGGGCTCCAAACGGCCAATGAGCCCATGAAAAGATACTCAACATCATTAGTTATTAGGGAAATGCAAATCAAAACTACAATGAGATACCACCCCACACCTACTCCAATGACTATTTTAAAAAAGGAAAATAACTAGTGTTGGCAAGGATGTGGAGACGTTGTAACTCTCTTGCATTCCTGGTGAGAATGTTAAAATGGCGCAGCTGCGCCCCTGAGAAATATGCTCCCTTAAACCATCAACTACAGGAGACCAAACAGTTAACATTTACCCAAAAGAAAAGATGGGACGGCAAGGAGGGGCAGGGAAGTTAGGTCAACGGAAACAGAACAAACAGAATGGAAATAACGAGCATGCTGACACATCGTGAAAATTGCAGCCAATGTCATGGAACAATTTGTATAAAATTTGTTACATGGGAACCTAATTTGCTGTGTGAACTTTCACCTAAAACACAAAATATTAAAAAAAAAAAGATTGTGTCAGTCTCACACATACATATGTATGTGTGTGCGTGTGCGTGTCCTGGCCCATGATATAAAAGATATTTCCTACCGTGGGTTGCAGTTCACAATAGTCTGAGTCACTCTAGAACAGGGATCAGAAAACTATGGCCTAAGGTCCAAATTCTGCCCACTTCCTGTTGTAAATAAAGTTTTACTGGAACACATCTTCTACCACAACAACTTCATCTCTACTCCACCGTTTCCAACCCAAGTGAGGAACCGCATTCCTGTGTCTGAGCCCTTCAAAGGCTCCTGATAGCTTTCCTGGTTCTTGGTTCTCCTCAGCCATCCACTGCCCTTAGTATATTAGGCCCACCTTTCTTTCTTTTTATTTAATGGCTGTGATGTTTCAGAAATATATTGCCAGGCCTTTCCTCCAAGGTACCTCTGGGTGGACTCGAACCTCCAACCTTTTGGTTAGCAGCCAAACACTTAACCATTTGTGTCACCCAGGGTCTCCTCAGGCCCACCTTGCCTAAATACCCCCTTCCTCAGGTCATTCCTGGCTCCCTCTGACATGTTTCAGGAGTGGTGATGGGGCCAGGACTGAGGTGAATGAGGGAAGGAGGCTGGTGGAGACAGAAGGAGCAGGCATCCGTGGCACGCTGTGGGGCTCTGTCTATAGGGGACACCCTGTGTACTACGACATGTGGCACCAGCTGCCTGTTGCCAGAGCTTCAGATGTCTTTAAAGACACGCCAGAAATCAGGATTATTTTATAAAATCCCAAATTTTAAACGCTGGCAAATAATTAAAAAAAAAAATCATGACGTAGGTCAACCACGTATATGAGACTAAATAGGCACATCAGCCCAGGGGCAAGGATGAGAAGGCAGGAGGGGACAGGAAAGCTTGACGAATGGAAATAGGGAACCCAAGGTCGAGAAAGGGAGAGTGCTGACACATTGTAGGGTTGGCAACCAATGTCACAAAACAAGAGATATGGTGTTTAATGAGAAACTAATTTGCTCTGTAAAGCTTCACCAAAAGCACACGCACGCACGCGCGCACACACACGATCATGAGGGCCAATTACCCAAAAAAAAAAAAAACAAAAACCAAAAACCAACCTGACCTCTGACCTTATAACCCATCAAGTCTAATCTCAAGTCTTCCACTTAGTGACCCCAGCCTACGAATCAGCCTTATTTCCCCAACTGTGCTCCCTGCTTCATCAAAGTGGTTATCTTGCATGTGTTCCTCTGTCTGCCCCCCGCCAGCACCATCTAGACTCTACCCCTCGGTCAAAGCCCAGCCCATCTCTCCCACAAGCCTTCCTCAACTACTTGAACTAGTGGCAGCCACAACGGTCTTCCATCTCCAAACTCCAGCGCACTGGCATTTAACCCAGGGCCTCTGCTCAGCAGGCAACAAGCACAGTCCTGTGCACAAAACGTCTGTGGACGACCCTGCGTGACGGACTACAGCAGTGCGCTCAGGAGTTCAGTCAAGCCCGGGGTGTTTCATCCTTGTGTCTAAAGGCTACAGTCAGTATCTTTATGTTTTCAGATGTTCTCTGTTTTCTACAGAAAGGGATGTACCCTCTAAAAAATGACCCTTTGGAGGCATGGTCTGATAATTCCCCCTCCTCCTGTTATTCTTCTTTTTGATGACCCAATCCAAAAATCAGCCAGTGATAATATTATGGATCACAATGGTCCTATCTGCAAATGATCATGGGGATGGTGTGGGACCGGGCAAAATTTTGTTCTGTTGTGCATGGGTTCGTCATGAGTCAGGGGCTGACTCGGCAGCAGCTAACAACAAATCTAGTCATGATACACACAAGTATACACATATATATATGTACATACACACATATGTAAGTACTGATATAGAAAATATGTATATGCACATAAAATATATAGTTGAAATAAGTACGAATATATTTTTGTTTCATGTCCCACCATTATCATTTTCACGGCTACATTATATTTTATAATGTTCTCCATCATTTGGATCATTTAGAAAATTTGGGTAAATGAACCGCAATACAAATGTTTATACAACACCCCTCCTTTGTGGAATTATTCCTCCGGGGATATTCTCAGGCTTTGGATTTTCTTGGGTCAAGAGTTAGAAAAGTTCTACGTGTAGCCAAATTGCTTTTTAACGCATTTATATTAATCTACACTTTGAAATCATCATTAGAAATGGAATCTTTAACTTTAAAGAATGCTTAAGTATGCAACATAAAAATGGAGCCCTGCTGGTGCTGTGGTTAGGCATTCGGCTCTTAACCAAAATGTCAGCAGTTCGAATCCACCATCCGCTCCTTGGATACCCTATGGGGCAGTTCTACTGTGTCCTACAGGGTCACTATGAGTCAGAATCGACTCGACGGCAACGGGTTTGGTTTGGGTTTTTTACTTACTGTTTTGAATTCCGTAAATTTCATCAATGAGCCCTTCGTACGTAAGCTGAGTGGCTAGAGGTGTTAACAAGTCCACGTTTCGATCGAGCAACAAGAGATTATCAAACACAGGAAATACTGAATTTTGGCTTCCTGTGAACTCTCTCTTCATCCTGATCATCATATTGGCCACTTGCTGGAAACAAAACATTGGATCAGGTGGGGCCCTCCTGGGAACCAGCAGATTCTAAAATTCAGCTAAAAACAGAAAGACAATCCAAAAAGCGAAAAAAAGAGAAAAGCTGTGGAATGACTGATAAGGAATAAGCAGCTACTGGAAAGCATTTGCTGCTGGGTACCCATCCCAACACTCACACCCTAGCCAAGGGCAGCTGCCATTTCCCAACGAGCCATAAAATCAGACGTTAGTTTATAAATGGTTTCCCTCTCCTTCTCCCTCTGGGGGGACAAGGGGCCCTTCCTTTAGCCTCGGGAGATGCCTGCCCTTCTCACCCGTGCACACTCCCCTTTCCCGAAGATCTGGGGGATGGTCCCATACAGAGCCTGCAGGGTCATCAGCCCCTTTGCTGCGTGGTAGAGGCTCGTCTGGTCACTTTCCAGGTAGCACTCCTGCAGGGAGGAAAGGCTGCTTACCCGCACGTCGGTGGACAGCCACTGCCCCTGTGCCTGCGAGAAGCCTGCCTCGACTCCCCACGCTGGGAGGCAGGAAGCTGGGCGGCAGGAAGCTGGGCCTCGAATCCATTTACACAGTTGTCTGAAAGGCCACAGCTCTGCAGTCAAGTGCAGTGGGGGGAGCCACTGACTCTCCTGGAGCAGAGCTGGGGACTCTGGGAAGAAGGTGTTCACCCATCATGCCAGCTCGGTTCATCAGCTCTTGACTAAAATACTGATTAGTAAAGACTTGCATTGGGGAATGGGGTCTCTCATTCCTAGTGGTGAGTGTGAACGTGGGTAGGACAAATGCTAACACCCACTAACATGGAAATGCACTTATTTTTTTGACCCCGATGTATCAGTCGACCACACAAGAGAATACTTTGCACCTTGTACAAAGGATGAGGTGGATTTTACACATGCTGATTTTTATATATACAAATGAGGTCCCTAATAATATTGAGCACTGCTATTGAACATTCAATGGAGCACAAGTCTAATTCTCACATTGTCATGGACTGAATTGTGCCCCCCCACAAAACAATATGTATCAACTTGGCAAGGTCATGATTCCCAGTATTGTGTGGTTATCCTCCATTTTGTGATCTGATGTAATCATCTTATGCGTTGTAAATCCTAATCTCTGCCTGTGGTTGATGAGGCAAGATTAGGTTATGCTAAAGAGGATTAGGGTGGGATATAATACCCTTAGTCAGGTCACAGCCCTGATCTGATGTAAGGGGAGTTTCCCTGGGGTGTGGCCTTCATCACCTTTTATCTCACAAGAGGTAATAGGAGAGAGAAGCAAGCAGAGAGGAGAGGGACCTCATTACCACGAAGAAAGAAGAGCCAGGAGTAGAGCACATCCTTTAGACCCAGGGTCTCTATGTGGAGAAGCTCCTAGACCCAGGGGAAGACGGATGGCAAGACACATGGAGATTTCCAAGGAACATCAGGCCTACAGGTGCTGAAAGAAGCCAACAGAGAGAGAAAGCCGTCCCCTACAGCTGGCACCTTGAATTTAGACTTCTAGCCTCCTAAATTACAAGAGAATAAATTTCTGTTGGTTAAAGACATCCACTTGTGGTATTTCTGCTATAGCAGCGCTAGATGACTAAGATACGCATTTTATACAGTAAGATGATGGAGATGGTCACATTCATGCCCAAAGATGGTCACATTCAGCAAGATCCAGATGTGCCTACTGATGCCAAGAAACACTAAATTATGCTCATCGTTTAAAAACACACAAAGAACCCCCTGAAACTATATCCCTGAGGAAACCTTTAAACCTTGAACCAGAACTATCCCTTGAAGTCATCTTTGAACCAAGTAACAGTTTAGCCTAATAAGAAAAGAATGTCTGCATTAAGCACTATAATCTTTTAAAGAATTATGTATGTGATCAAACTGACATCAACAACTTGAAGGGACAGATTAGAAGCTGAGGGGGACAGTGAGTCTGTGTTAGCGACGGTGAAATCGTTTGGAAAACGTTGTTGACAAAGGTGGCACGACCTGAAAAATGTAACCAATGTCACTGAATTGTACATGTAGAAATTATCAAAGTGGTGTTATGTTTTGCTGGGTATATTTTTACCCCCCAAAATTTTTAATTAAACAAACATATACACACAAAGAAGTAAAATTACCTCCATTCCATCAGAAACTGGGCTTGCAATTAACATTGGGGTAGAGCTCTTAGCTTTACCAGTCAGGCAAAATTCTTGATTTCTGAATTTAATCTTAAGTGAATGTACAAAGCCAAAGGCTTGGAATTCTCAGCAGAAAATAATTCTGCATTTATTTGTGAATGATCAGTAAAATAAGCAGGGAAGTCTCTCCTTTGGACAGGTTTTACTATGCCATGCCAAGTTTTCCTCTGCTGCTGCCAATTCACATTAATTACACAGATGTGGATTAATTATATAAAACTGTACCGTCATAGAAGGATACGTGATAAAGCAAATAGAGCAAAACATTAATGACAGGATCTAAGTGGTGGGTATATGGGTGTTCACTGCATAATTCTTTTGACTTCTGTGTGTTTGAAAATTTTCATATAAAATGTTGGGGGAGAAGTCTGTACCATCATTAGATGAGATGTAATTAAAGAAATCAAAAGCTTACAACAGAAAAGAATGGCGGAGAAGCTCTCTCACTTACATAATCAGTCGGTGGTACCCCAAAATAACTCTCTTAAGGTGGCGATCACTGTAACAACATACTGGGGAAGAAGAGATTTCAAATAATTTCATGTACTACACTAGTGGGTCTCAAAAGTTCCACACCAGCAAGTTCAGCATCACAAAACCACAAATCAAAAAAGGAAATATTGATAAATTCAATTATGCTAAACACACACACTCTCAACAACAAAAACCATCATAAGCAAAGTCAAGAGGCAAACGGAAAAGGAGAGTGAAAAGCAGCTTACGGATACACTTGCTCACGTGCAAAGTGATCTCGTATGAGGCTATTCACTGTAGCACTGCTTCTAACAATGTCAGATTAGAAACACTGAAATGCCCTTCCAAGGGGACTGGTTTAATAAATTACAGTAGGTTCGTCTAAACGATGGTACACTATGCGTCTTAAATGAGAATAAGGAAGCATTTTCATATGCTATAAAATGACTCCATAATATATTATTAAGAAAATAAAGCAAGATAACAGTGCACATATAATACTTGCTACCATTTGTATAAGGAGCTCTGGTGGCACAACGGTTAAGTGCGCGACTGTCAACCAAACAGCTGGTGGTTCAAACCCAGCCAGTGATGCTGAGGAAGACCTGGTGATCTGCTTTTGTAAAGACTACAGTCAAGAAAACCTTATAGGGTAGTTCTACTCTGTCACACGGGGTCGCTATGAGTCGAAACCGACTCGACAGCAGCCAATAACCACCATTTGTGTAAGAGTGGGGAGGGTTCCATGGATACATATACATATGCTGCAGCCGTATCAAGCATCTCTGAAAAAATACAGTGAATTAGTAATTGTCACTGCTTCTGGGAGGGAACTGAGGGATGGGACTTGGGTGGAGAGAGGCTTACTTTCACTCTGCACCCTTTTCTACTGCAAGAACTTACCATGTTCATGGAGTACCTTTACAAACCATTTTCAAATTATTCTTTTTAAAGATAAAGTAACACTGTCACGAGAAAGTGTTCCTTGAAATAAAGATGGTGTATAAAACAAATCTGTAAAATTACATTTGCAAAAAAAATCTTTCAGAACCGGAGGTCGAAGGTATGCACATTTGTTAATAAATACAGTATTTGTACACAAATAACACGTTATACCTTTTTTGCCAACCGCGCCCTGCCTCTGCGAGGTATTTTTTCATAAGTACACTATGCTAATTTTTTTTACATGTTACTGCAAAACAAGTTAGTACAGTGTGCATATCTCGCTGTTGGGAAAAAAACATATAACACATGTTGTTTGTGTAAAAATATAGTGTATATACTGAAAAAAAAAATCAGTGGGGAAAGAATAGTGCTGGAAAAACTAGCTATCCATATGGAAAAAAAATTAGCTCCTTACCTCACACCAAACAGACACATACCACCCACATACTCCACACACAAACACACAATTCAGGCTGAATGAAAAACTGGAATATGAAAAGCGAAACTTCACAGCTTTTAGAGAGAAAATATAAGATTTTCTATGCCTTTGGGTGGAGGATTTACTAAGATTCAAGAAGCACAAGCTGAAAGAAAACAAACTGACACATTTAAATACTTTAAGTCGCAGAACTCACACTTTCCAATTTCAAAATTTAAAAGATACATAATCAAGACAATGGGATATAGGCATAAGGACAGATATACAGATCAATGGAATAGAACTGAGATTCCAGAAATAAACCCTTCCATTTATGGCTAACTGATTTTTGACATTGGTGCCAAGAAAATTCAATGAGGAAAAATAGTCTTTTCAACAAATGGTGCTGGGAAAGCAGATATTCACGTGTGAAAGAATGAAGGTGGACCCCTATCTCACTCTATACACAAAAGTTAATCAAAATGGATCACAGACCTAAACGTAAGAGTTAAAATTATAAAATTCTTAGATGAAAACATAAGAGTAAATCTTTATAACCTTGGATTAGGCAAAAGTTTCTCAAATATGGCAACAAAAGCACAATCAACGAAGGAAAAATAGAGAAATTATCTAAATTGGACTTTGACAAAATTAAAAACTTTTGTTCTTCCGAGGACACTATCAAGAAAAATGAAGAGACAACCCACAGAATGGGAGCAAATATCTGCAAATGATATGTCTGTTTTAGGAACCCGTATCCGATTCGTTCCCACAAAAATTAAAACCAAACTCACGGCTGTCTAGCTGATTCCTACTCACAGCAACCCTACAGGACAGAGTAGAACTGCCCCGTAGGGTTTCTAAGGCTGCAAATCTTTATGGCAGCAGACCCCCAGATCTTTCTCCCATGGAGCGACTGGTGGGTTTGAACCACCAACCTTTCTGTTAGCAGCCGAGAAAGCCCTATGGGCCACTTCTACTCTGTCACGTGGAGCCACTATGAGTCAAAATTAACTCGAGGGCACCTAGAAACAACATCCAGAATATAAAAAGAATTCCTCAAAAAGGAAAAAATATGGGCAAGAGAATGAACAAGCAATTTGCTGAAGAGAAAATCTTAAACATCAATAAACATGTGAAAAGAGGCTCAGCTTCACTCTGAATCATGGAAGTGCAAACTGAAGCAATATAGTGACACTATTTCACACTCAACAGATTTGGCAAAAATTAAAGTCTGACACTGAAAAGAAAATGCCAAACTTACTTTGAACGCACTCTCTGATTCCATGGACAAGAGATCCCCATCAAAGGGAATGAGATCGAGGCTGTACTCCTCCCTGTGAATAAAGGATCCCAAAACACCCAGATCCTTCAGCCGCTGTTCACACAGTAAGCTGCGGCGTGGCACAAACAAAATGTGGAAATCTCTCGCTGGGCCACGTCTGTCTTCGCTAGAAAGGAAGGAACATTTATTAGCCTATGAGCTGCTTAGATTCAGAGATAACTGTGCTCATTTTACCCCCAGGCCTCAACCCTCTGCCTGGCACAAGCAAGCACTAAGTCAATGCTGGTTAGGTTAGCACACTGACTCCCAGGCCCACATGGTTCCAGTTGCTCTCATGGTCTTTTTTTTTTTTTCTGGCAGGAAAGCAGCATTGATTCATAGCCAGTGTTTTGTGATGCATCTTCTGGCTTTCTCTTAAACTATTTATGATGCATGAAAGCTCTCAGGTTCATTGAGACAGGTTATCTGCGTCTTGTTGGAAACGAACAGTTCTTTGGCCAAACCAATGCAGCAACATGGAGCCTTATGTTAGAATGAAAGGTCACTGTGTACTCCCATCTCTACTCTCCTTGACTGTGGACTTCCCCAAATAGCCTACAGGCTTTTAAGGTTTTAGGGGCCAGATCAATCAATGGTACCACGAGTGCAGACTAGGCTATGAGTACTTCCTCTACAGATTGGATGCTATGTTAAATTTTAATCAATCCTGACTTATTTTGCTTCTGAAATCCAAGCGCACTATGTTCAACATATTAAAAAATAACCATTACAGGTTTTTCGTTTGCTTGTTTTTTTTCTCTTGCTTTATTTATTTTTTATGATTGTACTTTAGATGTAGGTTTACAGAACTAGTTTCTCATTAAACGATTAGTATACATATTGCTTTGTGACATTGGTTACCAACCCCATGACATGTCAACACTCATCCCTTCTCGACCTTGGGTTCCCTATTACCTGCCTTCCTGTCCCCTCCTGCCTTCTCGTCCTTGCCCCTGGACTGGTGTGCCCCTTTAGTCTCGTTTTGTTTTATGGACTTGTCTAATCTTTGGCTGAAGGGTGAACCGCAGGAGTGACTTCAGTACTGAGCTAAAAGTGTGTCCAGGGGCCACACTCTTGGGGTTTCTCCAGTCTCTTGTCAGGCCAGTAAGTCTGGTCTTTTTTTGTGAGTTAGAATTTTGTTCTACATTTTCCTCCAGCTCTGTCCGGGACCCTCTACTGTGATCCCTGTCAGAGCAGTCAGTGGTGGTAGCCGGCCACCATCTAGTTGTGCTGGACTCAGTCTGGTGGAGGCCGTGGTAGTTGTGGTCTGCTAGTCCTTTGGACTAATCTTTCCCTTGTGTCTTTGGTTTTTTTCATTTTTGCTTGCTCCTGACGGGGGACGACCAGTGGAGTATCTTAGATGGCCGCTCACAAGCTTTTAAGACCCCAGACGCTACTCACCAAAGTAGAATGTAGAACGTTTTCTTTATAAACTATGTTATGCTTGTTTGTTTTTTAACCAGCATCTTTTCTACTGTTGGAGTACCTGAGTGGTGCCAACAGTTAAGTGCTCGGCTACTAACCAAAAAGTTGGTGGTTCGAACCCACTCAGAGGTGCCTCAGAGGAAAGACCAGGCTATCCACTTCTGAAAGGTCACAGCCATGAGAACCCTATGGAGTGCAGTTCTGCTCTGACACACATGGGGCTGCCGCTGAGTCGACTCTATGGCAACTGGTTTCTACAGACACAAGTCCACTACTGATACAGGTCCTAAAAGAATGGGATTATATGACGATCCCCCTCCAACTGCTTGGACGATTTCTCAGATCTCCCATCTCCCCTCTGAAATTCTTCCTGTCCTGTCCCAGTTTTCCAAAAGGTCACCTTCCAATGCACTGGATGGTGGAGAGGGGCTTGCAAAGGAAGGACCAATCTTTCTGGGACCAAACAAAAGCTCAGAGCTACCTGAGCACGTTTTCTGCAATTATATCCATCAATTCTAGCCTGGGTCTGACAAAAAAAATAATGTTCTTGACATCAGCTGCCGGCAAACGGTTTCCTTTCAGTGTGAACATTTTTTCCACTTCATGTTCCTAGGGAAACATAGACACGACAGGTGAATGCAAACCTGGAATTTACCTTTCATTTCCAGACTAAGACATAAAGACTCCCAAACAATCCAACATGCATTAATACTTTATTATCAAATTAGGTTCACTATAGCCAAATACGTAAAGGACCAAGTACCAGGATAAAGCCACTGCTACTACATCTGAATTCAAAGGGCTCTCGGGATGAGCTATCAAAGACACTGGGTAATCATCGTGTAATGTAATATTAGCTATTCCCCTAGAATCAGGCTCACTACAGAATCACATACAAAGTATTAACACATTAGTATCAATGTTTGAAAAGAATAAACAGCAGCTTTCATTGCAAGCCAATTACCTGGAGGAAATGTAAAACCCTATCATCATCATGAAATTATGGAATTATCAATCCCCAAACAAAACCCAAACAGCTCGTTTACCTTCAGAAGTGAGTACTGTGCAATCAACCCAAATGGTCCTGTTAGGTATTCATCCCAAACTATTGCCTAAAAGAGGAGAGAAACATTCTCTGGTCACAGTTAATATCAGAAATTTCAACAGTTTTTTATCAGCAGAAAACAGCAGTCACGCACAATACAAACATTCATTTCAAACTCTGAATTAACAAAAATTTTAACTGGCTCTGTGCCCACATTAATATCCTAAAGGCTAATGAAAAATAACGTCAGGTGCAAGCGATGATAATGTTGATCACGGAAAGTCAAGAGTCAGTCACTGTCCAGGAAAAAAAAGAAGGAACTATAAAACTATAGATGGTTGTGTGTCTGTGTGTCATGGTATTAAGTATTAGACTGAATCATACGAAATCACCATGGCAATTTCCATAGGTTCAAAGTAGTGTTTTATATATATAAGTATCATACAAACCAATTATATGAAAGTAAAACCTCTGGTACAGGTATTACAAATCTTATTTTGACAAAAAACCAGATGTCAATGAATTGATTCCAACTCTGGCGACTCAGGTGTGTATGACGAGAACTGTGCTCTATAGAGTTTTCAATGGCTGACTTTTTTGAAGGAGATCATCGGGCCTTTCTTCTGAGGCAACTCTAGATGGACTCGAATCACCAACCTTTCGGTTAGTACAGAAGAGGTAATAAAAATGGCTCAGAAATGTTAATATGTCCAAGGTCATATAACACGTGTGGAAGGGAGTCAGGACTCCAATTCATGGCTTTATGGCCCCACAGGTCATTGCTCTGGGCTCCTATGAGCATTCCTCCTGCTAAACTCCACTGTCATTTCTTTTTCTTTTTTCTAAATTGAAATTTTTATTGAAACAACCGTAGAATAATATTGTTGTAAGAAATAATAGAGAACAAAAAGACAAACAACCCAACCAAAAAAATGGCCCAAAACTTGCATAGGCATTTCGCTAAAGAGGATTTCCAAACGGCCACCAAGCACATGAGAAGATGCTCAACGTCATTAGCCACTAGGGAGATGCAAACCAAAATCACAGTAAGATACCATCTCACACCCATTAGAGGCTTGACCAAAAATGGGAAACAACAGGTTTTGGTGAGGTTGTGGAGAAACTGGCATCCTCATTCATTGTTGGTGGGAATGTAAAATGGGACAGCCACTGTGGAGAACAGTTTGACCGTTCCTCAGAAAGTTGAACAGAGAACTACCATATGATCCAGCAATCCCAGTGCTATGTATACACTCAGAAGAAGCGAAAGTAGGAATTCAAACAGAAACCTATACACCAGTGTTCACTGCAGCACTATTCACAAGAGCCAAAAGGTAGGAACAACCGAAAGGTCCATCCACAGATGAACAGATAAACAAAATGTGGTCCCTCCATACAATGGAATATTACTCAGCCATAAAGAGAAATGAAATCCTAATGCATGACACAACATGGATGAACCTTGAAAACATTATGTTGAGTGAAATAAGTCAGTCACAAAAAGACAAATACCGTATGATCTCACTTATATGAAATAAGCAAATACATGAAAACCAAAGTTTATTAGCGGTTACCAAGGGTGGGAAGGAGTGAGGAAAAGGGAGTTTTGTTTAAGGAGCATTGAGTTTATATTAAAGGTGGTACAATAATTTGGAGAAGGATAGAGATAAAGCTTAAGCAACATGAAGAATGTAATCAATATCACTGAATTGTACACGTGGAAATTGTTGAGTTGGCAAGTGTTTTGTTACGTATAGTTTCACCACAATAAAAAAGAAAGAAATAATAGATTTCTTGTACACTTTGCCCAGTTTCCTCCAATGGCAACATTTTGAAAATCTATAGTTATGTACAGTATCACAACAAGGATACTGACATTGATACAACCTCATAATCTGCATACGATTTCAGCGCTATTTCATGAGCCTAAACCGAGCTCCTGGGACTCTGCCTACGTTTCTTCTTCTGTCAAGGGCTGCTAGCACGCACTCTACCTCTTTGGGGTCCTATACACCCCAAGACTGGTTTCGGAGTCTCCTCCAGCTCTCGATAAATCCGAAGGCAGAGAGGATAACAACACTTAAAAAAAATCCTATAATGTCCCTGGTCTGCAGGTTCTGACGCCCTTGCGAGCTGAGTGCTAGTAAAAGTCTAACAGGAGAAACAACACTATTCTAGGAGCGCCAGGTTAAAACCCCAAATAACTACAACGTGTCTCATAATCTGAGCAGTAGGTTGTAAAATGTTGGTGCTTCAGACTTCCGTAGGTATGGTTTCTAATGACACGGATGATCGTTACAATGAATGGACATTCCATCTACAGCCTAGGGCAGGGCACGCCCATCCCTTCCCTGCCTCAACCACCTCTGTCCCGCAGCGACTGGAGCGCATCTGTCGTAAAATTAGCTCACGTTCGCACGGTGGTTTGTTCTGCTGCCACAAAACAATCGCGATGCCCCGCCAGCTACGGGATGTAAGTCCCAGGCCCCAGGAGCGGGCTTCCCTCCCCGCGTCATGGTTGCCGCCTGCCCAGAGATAAGGGTGGAAGGGCCATGAAGCCTGCCTCTTGGGACGCCCAGGAGGACCTAGTACACCCGCAGCTCAGGCGGTGAGGCACCTGATTAGGCCAGGCTGGACCACAGGCTGTGGGGGCGGTGCCGCCGCCGCCCGTCCCTCACCTTGCTTCCCGCACACTTGTCCAGGAATTCGCGCAGCTCACGACGCACCGCCTCGCGCAGGACATTCAGGTTTACTCGCCCGTAGGACAGGTGCGCCGCCATCTTGCCCCACTGCCCCTTTTTGCCAGTCCGACCACCTCTGTCTTCTCCTTACGCAAGGCGGATGGAGGGAGTCACGTGACGGGCGGTCCACGTGACGAGGGCCGCTGCAAGCACGCCCAACCCGGAAACTGGAAGTGGTGAGATTCTGCGCTTCCGTTTTCTGGCTCTAGTGTCCGGTTTTTCTTCTACGTCCCGCTTCTTCAGACGCTGCCTCAGTCCAGGAGTAGTCGGGCGCTGAGGATTAAGTTTAAAGATGGAGACTAGCTCTCGTCCCGATTAAAAATCGTAACTTTCCTTTTAGCAGCAACGGCACTCGCTGTAAAATGGTAATCTGAGGCTAAGCTTGAATGGAAATGGTTTACATTTTAGCAATCAAAAGGTCCTTCACTTTGCATTAATGGTTTTTTTGGTTTGTGGGCTAAGATTTTACAAAAATATTCAGGGGTCGAGGGAATCTTGCGTGCCTTTTCCGTTTTTAGTCCTGGTTTTTACAGGGGGACACGGTATTTACGCTTATACTATCCGGCCTGGAATTTAGGGTCCCACCACTTGCTTCATCAGTAGAATTTGCATGTTACCTCATGAGTTGTGAGGAACAAAGGGGATGTAGACTACTTCATGTCATTCATGTAAAAGATTTATTAGCAGTATGCCTGGTACCTAAGAGCTCAGTAAATCATAACGATCGTCATTAGGCAGATTAGAGTATACACTGAGTGCATGGCTTCTTCCCTCAATACCCTTTATATAGTTATTATGAAGAAAGTACTTGCAAAGTACCATGGAGTCTGAGTAAGCACCGAATGGAATTTGGGGATGAAGCAGAAAAAAAAAGTTTTAAATATTGTATGAAAAGTATAAATATTAAATACCTACTTACATATTTCCACTCGATTTCTTGATCCTATCAAAAACATTTAGATTTTAAAAATAAATCACACATGCACACTAGTTCCGCACCCTAGTTCTCAGCCAGGTTTTCACAGTGATTCTCAATCTGTGTCAAACTTCTCATATGCGGTGGTGGGGGCTTAGCTGGGAATGTGCATTAGCACCATCTGTGAGAGTAAACGTTGAGCACAGCAGGCCATGTCGTGTGTTAAATGACATACCATTTACCGTAAGAGGTAACATGCCTAAAGCTACTAAAATCTCAAGCATGAATGAGTGTAAATAAGCAAGGCCAGGATGATAAAACTATCCTCCTTAAACAGCACCAGGATGCGAGAACGTGATCAAGTAACGGGTGCTTTCATAGATCATGAAAGACATTGTTGTACTGCTTTGTAGTTGCCTTATAAATACTGGATGCTTGTTCACCCTTAGTTTCTCAGCCCTGCCCCCAGTTCAATACCAAACTTGAGAACTGTCGTAGAGTATTATTTAGGTAAAAGCAATATGCTTTGCTCAACTAGTAACTCTGCTTTGGAAATACCTACCTGTGGGGAAGTCTGAACTCTAAAAATAGATGTTCAAAAACCTAGCCCACAATTGGTTCAGTAATCTTTTTTGTCAACATCGCAGCAACTTTGTGGTACAACATGGTGCCACCTATATTTTTGTTAGATAATATGGTGTCATATAGCAATGAATAACCACCTTAGGTATTTAGGTAATTTATGCTAATAGGTCACAGAACACTGAGATAAGGACATATCAATTTCTTAAAAGCTGTTTGGGTCTATTGTGCTTGCTTGTTTGAAGAAAAGCCATTATGACAAATAAACTTGAGAATAATATGAATTTAAGTACCACTGGCAAAAAAGAATAACTGTTTATTAAAGTAGATACAGAACACTTATTTGCTCAAATTTTAATACTGCTTTACGTTTTGTTTGTGAAACAATTCCTATTATGTTTATAACCAAAAATTTCAACTGATTACAGATTTATTTAATATTCACTTGTCAAACACACAGTTGATCATCTTGAGGGGAAATACATCAAAGGAATATGTACATTGGTAGAAGTTCTTATTATACATATAGATGGAAGATACATTTTATTATTTTTACATATTCTAGAAGACATTCAAATGAAGATAAATAGATTCTAATTGGTTGATAAATTGTTCTGGTTGTTGAGGTCCTTCACTTTATTTTTTGTGATAAGAAAATCCAAAATTATTAATGTTGAATTTCTCATCGTACATTCATCTAAAAACATAGTAAATAAATACTTAGAAAGGAAGACTGTGTATTGGTTAATCTGGATGTTTTATAGTGGCTTATTAGCTAATCAGTTGACTGCTGGGAATATCAGATAGAGAAGGAAAGAAAAAAATTTGGAGCCCATTCACCCAGTTATTTAAATCTGGTAAAGAAAGTAAAAACAAAATAGTTGCAAAGCCACGTAATGGTATTTCTGGCCTAGTCAGTTATGTCTTGATGAACATTTTTTTTTTTCCATAAAGGTAAAAATCTGAAAGAAACACACATTGTGTATGTTTTTTTTTTGCCAAAATATAGATTTTTAAAAAATATATACATATAATATATAGAAGCTGAAATTATGCAAAACCAATAAACAGAACACCACAGTAGAGTGAGTGGGTGCAGCATATAGATTATAAAACGTCCCCACAGCAGTTTGGGGGCTTCCCCCTCCCTTTTACCTGCTTCATGATTTTATAATCACACCTAAGTGTCATCAAGCCTAAAACAAAGGCACTGCTGACATCAGGTAGTGCAAAGAGCTCACATACTTCTTTGATTAGGAATAAAATACTTTGAGTAGATGAAACTGCAAAATGGCACATTTTTTAAACTCATTCCAGTGTCAAAGCTTAACCAAAAAAAACAACAAAAAAAAGTCTAAATATACAAATGCAGCCTGGAAGTATTTTAGTGCAAATATGAAAAGTAACAGCATAATTTAAAGTTATTTAAATAAGGTATTGTAAGGCTAGGGATCGTTCTACGAGGGACAGTAAATGTAATGGCATCTGGTGCAATTTCTTGTTCAAGCTTTTAAAAATCGATGACAAAATGAGGTGAAAACTCACCTACTACGTATTTATTTATTATTCTAACTTATAATAAGGGGAGACTAAAAGGACTCTTTGTTGAAGATCAAAATATTTTCTTAGATTTGTTGACGGGGGGTCAAAAATAACGTGAGTTCTCCTGAAGTCTGCACACACAATGCTGGTGTTAAACTGCGAGATGCAAGCGCGTCTGGGAAAGCTCCGCCCTTGACTTCCGGCGTCATCAGAAGGTCTCGTCGTCATTGCAGTTGGTTGCCCAGTGCCCGAACATCTCACAGATCTCACAGTACGGGCGCTCCTCGCTCCGACTGCCGTGGTGCGTGGAATGGGGAGGGTCCTCGGCCATTTGTGCCTGGGTAGGACAATCCTCTGTGTCGTGGAGATCAAAGCAGTCACAAATGTCACAGAAGAGGCGAGGTTTCTTCTTGGACTGTTTTCCCTGGTCATCGCTACAAATGTTAACATGCATAATCAGGAACTCATCTCTATCAGAGAAATTCAAGAGACAGTAACACTTGTAAAACGTAAAACAATAAGCAAGAACTAGTTATGGCCAAGTCTGTAAGCTTCAAGTATTAAGTATCCCTATTTTTTATTTTTCTGTCCAACCATCTGTAGTCTATCGCTCTCTTGCAAGATTTACAGAAATCTATCTATGGCCAATGCACCTCATGTGCAGCCACCACCCTCTGTCACTGGAGGCTTGTGTGCTGCTATGATGCTGAACAGCTTTCAGCGGAACTTCCAGACTAATACAGACTAGGAAGAAAGGCCTGGCACTCTATTTCCAAAAATCAGCCACTGAAAACCCTATGGATCACAACAATCCAATCTGCAACTGATCATGGGGATGGTAAAGACTGGGCAGCGTTTCGTTCTGTTGTGCATAAGGTCGTCATGTTGATGGCAGCTGACAGCAACAGCAATATTTATGCCAAGTAACCACAAAGCAACTGGGCCTTTTTTTTTTCCCCACTGGAACTAAGGTCTGAATCAGTATGGCTTAGTGTGAAATACCTGTCATAATTGTTCAGGTCTTCCCCATTGCCATTGAGGGCTGCTTCCGACATCATCTCTACCTTCATCTTGAGATCTTGATTCTTCCTCTGAAGGTCCACTATGACTGAATTTAGGAAATCAATCTGTTTGGGGGGGAGAAAAGAAAAGCAGCAATGAGATGTGTAAAATGTTTAAAACACACATAAACTGGAGTATTAAGCAGTCATGGGAGCCTATTCTCGCACTATGGCTACCAAGAGTGGGAGATATCCCAGCAGGGGCCGACGGTGGCCATGACTGAATCCTGTTTTCAAGCTTCACAAGGACTAGGAATGTTGGGACTGTTTGACTCAAGAGCTAGGGCCATGTCTAGGTGATGGGGTGACAGAGTTTTCTTCTTCCCTTTCCTTCCTATCCTTCAAATTTTCTTTATGGACTAGATGCTAGTTTTATGTTGAAAAACATTTTAAATTACATTTCATTGGATGTTTACCACTGTAAATAAAGTCACTTCATTTGTTATTGAGGCAAATGGAATTACACTTAATTACCTAAATCGTGGGCTGATGGAGTGCTACTGACTCATGGAAAACTGTAAGAAACATTTATTTCTTTCAACAGAAAAAAAGAAGAAACCTACAATTCTCCAAAAGTCATAATTCCATATTTCTGGATATATGGCATGCTGTAAGCCTGAACTGTTTTTGCCTTCTACCACATAAAAACTATATGCACAATTTTGCAAAAAAGCATAACCAGTTAATTGTTCCACTAAATTTTAGAACCAATCCAGGACTTTTCTGTGGATTTGAAAAAAGTACATGGCAATTCATATCAGACCACCATTTAACATCTACTGGGAACTAACTGGAAACCCTGGTGGCGTAGTGGTTAAGAGCTCGGCTGCTAACCAAAAGGTTGGCAGTTTGAATCCACCAGGCGCTCCTTGGAAACCCTATGAGGCAGTTCTGCCCTATCCTATAGAGTCGCTATGAGTTAGAATCAACTCGATGGCAACAGGGGTTTGGGGGAACTAATTAGTGTGGGAAGATAAGCAAACATCTTCAGGGAAAATGAACGAGTTTAAGAGAGAAGACCACAGTTCCCTTTCACCCGAGGAGAGATGCCATGGCATGTGCTGCTGAGGCCGTGTTCAGAATGCCACACAGACTGAGGGAGAGCACCGTGCCAAGAGTCACTGGGCAACGGGACAGCGCGAGGACCATCAGGAGGAACTACTCTGGATCGCAAGTCAAGGGCCCTTTAAAACAAAAGGTTTCTTCCCCCTTACAAATACTAAAATGGCCTCATTTCTTTAAGCGTCCATTGAAAGACCCACTTTACAATATTAAAACCACACAAACACACACACACATTCACTTTCTAAAGAAATATGTATTTGGGTTTTTCCTCCTCCTGCTGGGGAAAGTTACGAGACAAAGCTCGCGATCACTGAAGCCTCTCTCTGCAGAATACCACCTTCTAGCATCAACGAGGCTAGCTGTGAAGGCAGAGCCGCTGAATCTATTTTCACTTCTCCAACTGCATTTTAGGTATTTGTAAGTCATTATCCTGTTAAGAGCTCCATTTCAGGAAGAAGAAAAAGCCACAAAATGGACTTAAGTATAATGGCAAACCACCCCCGCCCCAAACACACACGAGTTAGGAAACATAAAACAAACCATTTGCTGATGGAAGGAAAGTGTTGTCAGCAGCAGAAACACACGGAAGCAGACAGGAAAGGGGGAAAGAGGAAACGCTGTTAATGAAGTATTACGCCTACTAGACATACAAACTAAGCAAACAGTGCTAAATTCCAGGCTGAGCTAGTACATGTGTTGGATCCTCTCAAAAAAGTCTTCAGATAGAACTACTTTCAAATTCATTCAAGTTTTCCTTTTACTTAAAAATGAGAGATGGCTTCTGTACCTTTGAATTTTGAACAGTATAAAATCAAAGGTATAGTATTAAAAGAGGAAGTTTGTTGCTCATGTGCAATAACATTCCAAATATAAAACAATTTGCCTTCATACGATCCCATTTTTAAAACTAAGGCTGTTTTGTTAATCGTAGTTTTAAGAAACTGAGTTTTCAAGAACCTGTCTTTTTAAGGTAAAGATAAACATGGAACTCTGACATAGCAATTCTACTTCTAAGAGTTTATCCTACAGAATTCTAGTACATATGAAAATGAAAGATGTCCAAGGGTCACTGTAGCGTTGTTTATAACAGACCCAAAAGATGAGAAATATCCCAAATGTCATGTCAACCAATAGGAGGCTTATTAAATAAATTATGCTACATCCATATAAGGGAATACTATCCAGTTGTACAAAAAAATAAATGCAGAATAGTTTATGTAGTATGCCAGTATTTGTGTTAAAAAAAAAAAAAAGGAGGAAAAGATGCTATTAGTATTGGCTTACATATACTTTTTTTTTTAATCTCTGGAAAGATAAAGACACTATTAACAGTGATTACCTGTTGTGGGGGAAGGGTGGGATGGGAAGTGGGAAGGGAAACAGGGTTGGGAGGGAGACTTTTTCCTGTACATATACTTTTTTTTTTTTTATTCAGGTGAAGGCTTACAAATAGTTTCTTATGAAACAGTAGTACACATACTGTTTTATGACATTGGTTAACAACCCCACAACATGTCAACCCTCCAACTTCTCAACCTTTTTTTTTGGTGAAAATACACATAGCCAAAGATATACCATT